TAAGTAAAGAACAATGAAGTATATTTGCTGATGTTTCTAAGGACATGACATTTCAAATGTGGACACAGTAAAAAAAAAAAAAAACTAAATCACCTTCTCGTGGAACTGCTCTGTTTCTTCTGGTTCAATCTTATCTGAAGACGTGCACACGAAGGACAGAGGGCTCGTTTCCTTTCTGCATACAAACCTAACATAGAGCAAAAATTTGCCGTATATTGTTAAGTGCGTGAATCCATTCTCGCCAGTTAAAGGCTAAAATTTCTTTCAACAGTGAGTTTGTGGAATATGTTTTTTTTTTGCAGGGTCACTGTAGCCTGCAGGAAAATTAAGCAAAGCAGTACTCTACATGTGAAATATGCTCTCTGCTGGATGACTAATGACAGACCTCCCTGGTGGCATATCTACACTTTGCACATTAAGGCAGAAAATGCTAATGTGAGCATGTGAATATCAGAGTGTGGAGATTAAGACTCTGCGGCTTGGAAAGCTTGTAATAACAAGCTGATGACCTGTGTTTCTTTATTATATTTAATAAAATGGGAAGCTGGCTGCAAACAATTTTAAAATTCTATAAGGACTGAATATTAATTCAGCTTGTTTATCCTTTAGAGTGATAAATAGAAAAATATGGAGGGTTTTTTTTTTTGGGGGGGTGGTTTATTTTGTTTCATCAAAAATATCCGCATGTCAGTCGTAACAAAGCAAATGTCATTGAAGGGGGTCTCTGGGGTTCCAGTCATATTTTCTGTACAATAATGTATGATAATTGTCAGGGTTTCTGTTATGTTGTTCTTTTGACTACGAACACCTTGTTGTCTATAAAGTGTGAATTACATTATCATAATGCACTGAAAATATTTCTGCGGTGCAAATAAGCACCTTTGTAAGTGTAAAAGTACGTGAGATGAGGTTCTCACAGTTCCTCTGATTGGTGTGTGTTGGCTTTTATCACTTGCATTCACCATCATTAACGAAGGACGCTGTTGTCACACAACAAAGAGCGGCGTCTCAATCACTGCAGAACGAAGATTAAATGTCAGGAGGTCTCGGATGGTAATGAGACGGATAGGGAGTATTTTGAAAACTCTACTATATGTACTCTGGTTTTATCAAGGCAGTACTTGAGATAACTGCTTAAAGGTTGTATGTAAAGGTTAGAGAAAGGTTTTGTGTATATATATATACATACTGCCACTAGGTGTCACACCAGAGCACCAGCATCTCAGATCAAAACAAATGCTCACGTTGTCTCCCATCACCGGTCACTAACATTATGAAACATACAATTTACATAAAGATGAACGACTTCCCAAATGTCAAGTCAAAGCACATGGCTGCAGTAAAGGTCATGAATCCTGCCTCCTACATGTTAGCGGATGGGACCTTAAATAAATGTTCGATACATTTTCCTCAAAGAAGGTATCTGGCATTTTAAATGGTTCTTATCAGACTGATGTTTGCTGATTCTTTTATCCAGTGGGTTTGGTAATTCGATGGTATAACAAGGTGAAATGTCATGTATTGGCTTGAACGGCAGATTCTGTGTCCAAATTGCGTCTTTGCTGCAAGATAGCGGCTTTTGGCCTAATTTCTGGATTGTGGGAGGACGCATACTTTGCTCATTTTAATATACAGTCTTCGTTAACCATCAAGTTACTTTGACATCAAAGGGAATCAAACTCTGTTCAGAATCAAGTCTGAGCTCTTAAGCAGCTTGTGGAGCCACACCAGTATTGACTCCGATCTTTGTCGGAGGGCTTTTTAGTCAAATAAACTGTATTTTTCGGGGGTTGAAGGGAATTCTACAAGGTTTCTTTCACTTTGTTTTGTTCACAGAGAGAACTCGCACCATCATGCACAAGTAGCTGTAGCTGTCTATTCACTTTTCAAGGAGCCTTTAGACATCTGTTAAACCAGAAAGAATGTTGTGCATCACAATATGATGATTATGTCATACACAGGATATAACAGGCACGCTCCAACAATTTTTTCTTAACTCAGATTTGCTTGCGCCGTTCTTTCTGTAAATCAACAAAATGTAAATACAGTGGATTAATGAACATTACATAACGATGGCACCCAAACCTGCAGACTTGTGCAACAAAAGGCTTCGCAACGGGTCCTAGCCCTAATTAAATTATTTCCGTATTTGCACGCCACAATAGGAAAGAGTAATTAATTTTTTGCTCAAGTGCATTACCAAAGGCAATATCAAGTTTATTAAATGTGTCACAAATTAGTTTGATTAATTATATTTGCTGGAAGTTGGGGAAACTGAAACTTCATATAATTATACTGAATGGAGATGTTTTCATATTACAAAGTAAA